CTAATATTTAAATCTTTTGCTCTTCGAATCCCTTCAAGTGCTGCAAGGATCTCAGCCCTAAGAGAGTCACCTTCTCCAATDGGGCYARAGAAYAAAGYARTAACAATCCCTTCCTCATTCCTGAAGACTCCTCCAATCCCAGAGGGCCCTGGATTCCTTACACTGCTGCCATCAAAATTCAGCTTTATAAAACCCGAGGGGGGAGGGGACCAGAACAGACAAAGAGTTCTCCTGCATCTAGCAGTGAAAGCAATCTCTTTCCAGTTTCTTAGCAAGTCATCCATAGGACAATCTGAAAACAACTCCAAAGATTTTAGCCAGTGGACTGCTCTTATAAGGATTCGATCTAACAAATCTTCCAAAGTTTTTTCTTTGTCAGAAAATATGCGTGAGTTTCTTTATTCCCACAAAGACCAGCAAACTGCTGCCCTAATACACCTCCACATAGTCTTCCCTCACTTCTTAGGCCAACTGAAAAAAGGAGAAAACAAACTTTGGACAGTCTCCGGAGGATACCAAGAACATTCAAAACGGGAGAAAACCCACTCCCAAACAGATTTAGCAACCTTACAAGAGACCATGAGGTGGTAGCCAGATTCCCAATCAGCTTTACAAAGAGCACATCTATTAGAAAGTAGACAATAGTTGGGTCTCTTTCTTTGGAGTAAGTCTAAAGTGTTGATTCTTTCCAGGAAAATTTCACAACAAAAAAACCCCACCCGAGGAGGAATAGGTCTACTCCAAATTTCCTTAACTGGAAAGGACAACCCYAGGGGGGTAGGAGGCTGAGTTAAGGTTTCAAAGAAAGAAGCACAAGAAAAGGTACCAGAGCTAGAAAGGGTCCAAAATCTGGTGTCTTCCTTAGCAAGGTTTAGGAAGACACTCTCAAGGGAGGCTAGCAGAGCTACCAAGCTATCCAAGTCCATATCCCTAATTGCCCTACGCAAACCAAGGTTCCAACCAAAGCCCGGAGTGGAAGCTGAAGGGACTAAGAAAGAAGAAATGGGTTCATTTTTCAAGTCTGAAAGAGCATACAAGGAAGGAAACTTGTCTTTCAGAGGAGAATCCCCGACCCAAAGATGTTCCCAGAAATTTATTCGGTTACCAGAGTTTAGACCATACCTGAT